CCCTTCCGACCCTAAATCTATGAAACTATGAAACTATTCCTGTGAAATTAAAAAGCTTTTTTTTAGCTACTTGAGGTCAAACTTTGAGTAGGTTTAACAGCTGAACAGAAAACCAACAAAGCACAATCCAAAAATTAGGGCAAAAAACAAGGATGAGTGATGACCCATATGCCCATTAGGAACAATATATGCCCACCTTTGTTGTTCATGGGAAGAAGTATTCACAAAGCACATAAACGGACTAAGCAGGTTGCAAGTGGAAGATTAGGGACCACACTCCATTATGACTATTAGTCATTAATATCAGTTTTCCAGTGCCTTTGTAGTTAGTAGGGCTATCAAACAATTAAAAAATTTGATCACAATTAGTTGTGCGACTGAAAAAATTAGTCGCAATTAATCACTATTTTAATTGTATGGCTAAAAACTCAAATTAGGCAAAATTATACAGGTACTTTGTATGGTTGTGGGGTGAGTGTGCGGTGTGTGTGGGGTGGGAATTTGTGAAGGCATGGAGGGATATGGGTGTGTGTATGGGGTTTGGAGCCTGGGGAGGAGGGGACCCCACACACCCTGGCAGGATGTGGGATACTGTCGGCCAGGAGTGAGTGGCAGCAGCAGCAGGGCTGGGGGGCTTGTGGCTTGGGAGTGAGGCAGGGCACAGGCATATCATTGCACCAACAATCATATTATACCTCCCCATAGGTGTCCTCTTTTTTAAAACGGGAAATGTGGTAACCCTATCAGAATGCAGCCCAGTAGCATGTAGAGCAGGGCCTAGTAGGTAAGTCTGTGGAGGGGAAGGGGCGGGGGGGAGAAGGAAAGGGTAGGGGGGGCAGATCAAGGCCCCCACGGTGAGGGAGGGAGTGGGGCAGGGGCAAATACAGGGGCTGGGATGAATGGGGTCCTATGCCTGGAGCAAATCATGGGACAAAGCTGCAGGAGGCTTGCCCAGGGGTGTGGGGCAGGGAATAGAGGATGGGGCGGGGAATAGGGGACTTCCCTGCTGCTGCATGCAACCCCAGGGGAGGCATGGGGAACATGTGCCTCCTAGATTTGTGCATGGGGTGGAGGCAGGCTGCTCATTGCAGGCTGGGGCTCTACACCCTTCTGCCTTTGTCCTGGGAGCCATACACTGGCCACGCCTTGCGTTCCCTGCCCACCTGGCATTAGGAAGCTCAACATGGTGTTGCATGGCTCCTGCGGCAAAGGCAGCACAGCCCAGAGCCCCAGCCCACAGAGGCCAGCCCACCTCCGCTCCATGAACAAATCTGGGGGGGCACATGCTCCCCATGTCTCCCCCAGGAGTGCATGCAGTGGTGGGGAGCCACACCCCCTTCCTGCGCCACTGGATGAGCCTCCTGCAGCTCTGTCTCATGATCCATTCTGGTCCTGGGGCTCCATTCACCCCAGCCCCTACCCCACTCCCTCCCTCACCATGGGGGCCTTGATCTGCCCCCCTTCCCCTCTACAGACTTACCTGCTGGGTGCTGCTCTACCCACTGCTGAGCTGCAGTGTGTGTGTGTGTGTGTGTGTGTGTGTGTG